TAATCAATGGATTTATATATTTTTTTGTCATTATTATTGTTAGGTTGGAGCTTTTTAAAGGTCTTATTAAGCATCATATTAATAATCCTTACGGGGAAGTCATTCTTTATTAAAATATCACGCACTATGTTCTTTTGTTCATTATGGAAAATTTTGTCACTCAGTACTAGAACTCTTCTAATAAAATTGGATGCTGTATTTAAAATCACGTGTTTAGGATGATTGGAATTATAGTTAATTAATCTTCCTGACGCTGAAGACTTTTTATACCATTGAAAGTGAATTTGGTTATTATGTCTAATTAATTCAACATCTAAATAAGGAAGCCTGTTATTCTTTTCTTCTTCTATGGTGAATTTTAAATTTGTGTGAAAAGAATTCAAAATTTGAAGTATTTGAGTTATTTTATTTCTGCGTATTATCGCGAAGATATCATCTACATACTTCGTTAATAATCTTGGTTTATATTCCTGGTCATGTTTTATGAACTCTATAGTGCTGAATCGATACTGAAACTTTCGGTTTGATTTGAATTTCAATTCCTATTCAATAGAGGTTTTATTGATATTTTATTGATAGCCTCTAATAATCTGCCATCGAGAATCCATTAGCATGGACGATAATGGAAATAGTGGTCATTTCATAGATTTATTGAAATTGTTATCCAAATATTATCTTACACTACGGAAGTACCTGCAACGCATTAGTAATAAACCAATTACTCAAGATTATTTGAGTCACGGCATTCAGAATGATTAATTGTATTAATGTCTAAGACAGTTACTGACGAAATTATGGACAGAATTAAACAAGCAAAATACTATGCGATCATGTTCGATTGCACCAGGGGCGTGAGCAACGTTGAACAAATGTCATTAATACTAAGATTTTGTAGTTCCTTAACCGGAGCTATAGAGGAACACTTTGTTGGGTTTATTGCTGTCGCTGAAACGACGGGAGAGTGTTTAATAAATTCAATACTACAAGAATTTAACAAATTCCGTTTAGATATCCAAAATTGTCGACTATAGAGTTATGATAATGGTGCCAATATGGTCGGTATTAATAAAGGCTTTATAACAAGAATTCTGAATATTAATTAAAGAGCATATTTTACACCTTATGGACGCTACAGCTAGAATTTACTTAGAAAACGTTTTTCGGTTTTATCAATAAAATCTATTTGCTTTTTTCAAAGTCGGGCAAGCGTTGGAATCTTGTAAAAACCAAATTAAAATTGACCTTAAAATCTCTGTCTGAAACCAGGTGGGAGTCCTGAATGAAATGCTGACTTTCCAGTTTATTATTGTCATACACGTTTGGTACGAAATTTTGCTACGAGTGAACAATATAAATAAACAATCGAATGAAATAAACTTGAAGATCTATATCGAAATTCTAGGCTCATTTCGTAATTGGGTGAAAAGGTATCGGAATACTAGATGTGAAAAAACCGTTTAACAAGCCCAATTGCACTTAAATTTAAAGAAAACAGACTAGCAAAGACGCAGTTGTGTAGTTACGAACATATTGATGAACCCATACAATCCGTTGAAATGCAGTATAAAGTAAACCTTTTTACAACAATAATAGATGCTATTATAATTGATACCTATTGTGAATTTAAAGCACTTAATGGATATTTTGAACAATTTGGTTTCATATATGACATTCATCACATAAAAAATAAATAATACCAAACGAAGATCTTTTCAAGCATTGTAATGCTTTGGGTATAATACTTCGGGAAGGTGAAAATTGCGACATTTAGTCTTTTGAACTGTATGAGGAAGTGGTGCTTTTAAAATCGAATTCACTAGACTCAATCAATGATATGAAGCAACTCATTTGGTATACTAAAGAAAATAATTTAGAGGAAGTATATCCGAATGTTTATGTAGTAACCAGAATCATGTTTACAGTTCCAGTCAGTACAGCTTCTGCTGAAAGAAGCTTCTTGAAGCTACAATTGATTAAGACCTGTTTGCGAAGCACGATGAATCAAGAAAGACTATCTGCATTGGCAATTTTATTAATTGAATCGAAACTAACAGCCAATGCAAATTATGCTAAAATTTTAAAAAATTCAGTGAGGCTAAAAGTAGGAAAATTCATTTATTGTAATTTGTGTTTCTTTTAATTTGATTACCAATCAAATAAAACGATGAAGTTAATGTAAATTAATTAATTTTGTAACTCGGTAATGCAAGGGGCCTCTCAATTTTAATTTCGCCGATGCCCAGATTTGGTCTATCTAAGCCAATATATAGAGCCCAAAAACAGAATTTTACTGGGATCAAACTATTTAAGACTATATGTATCCGCCCTATGCTCTTACTAAGAGTGGTGTATTTACTCAATATATTGTACACAAATACATTGTAAATACATCAAGGAAATAATAATAATAATCCTTTCGTTGGACAGTCGATAAGTCCAATTGGCTTACGTCTGATATATATTTTGTATATATTGTGCATTTTGTATATATATGTACAAGCAGTGACGACGCGTGCCCTATCTGGAAGGGTGTGCGGCTCTTCTACAAAATTAAATAAATCAAAAATGATAAATTGAAATAGATGATATTTTATTAACAATAACTATATTATAACATTCAACAATTCATTAACCGAATAACATATTAAATAAATTAAATTAAAAACTTGAAAACTAGGCTACCTTCTTATTTAGATAATAGGTTTTATAACTATATTTTATAAAAATATATATGGTACACTTATATTACATTTATTAATAAATTATTATAATTATTGGTTCATTTTTTTTCTAATCATAAAAATAAATTTTACTAAATACGTATTTAATACAAAATCTCGTTAAAATAAATTATTGAATTTAATAGCGGAAAATAGATTTAAAATCAAAATAGCCATTTACTTGTACAACAGCTCCAATCTACGATTACTTTTTAAAAAATTATTTATAACATCAGGGTAAAAGGTCGGTTTAAACTGAATTTCTTTTAAGAATGACTTTTCTATTGATATTAAGGCTAAATCAGATAGACGGCTTTCTTGCATTTTACTTCGTGCATATGTTTTAATTCTTTTCAACGCTGAGAAAGATCTTTCAACTGTTGCAATAGTAGTTGGTACTGTTAAAATTAAACAACTTAATTTATATACCTCTGTAAGTGTGTCTTTTAAGTCCAAATTAATCAGTAATGGAGGCATATCTTTTACTAAAACGCCGCAAAAATTATTGTTGGAATAGATAACATTTAACTCGTTTTTTAATTTAACAACTTCAAAAAATTTACCATACAACTCATTTAAACAATTAAAAAGATTAACTGGAAAATCATTTCTATATAATTCAAATTTTTTTGAATTTAATAGTTCAATAAATTTTAAATCATTTAATGCCTTAAATCTTAATACCATTTGATTATAAATGGTATCTATAACTTTACAATAGATACCCCGATAACGAATTTTATGTTCTTCTGCCGTTTCACCACGTTTAAAACGTATTTCAGCTTTCTTCAAAGTATCATCAAAAGTCATATTAAATTTTTCTCTGCACAACATAACGTTCCGTTTAGCTATTTCGATATTTTCTAAACAAAAGCACACATCGAATGATTTATTTTGTAATATATCAAATAAAATATCGGTTTGAGAAAATATTTTGTCAAAGGTTGACAAAAAAAATACTGTATTAAATTCTCCCAAAAAGTGACGAAATCCTCTAGCTTCTACTGCATCAGATGCCCAGTTGTCAGGATCCTCAATCATTTCCTCAAAAAGGTTGATTAAATCATTATAGTGAGCCCACACAGTGTTCACCATTCGAGATGTATAATTCCATCTTGTTGGTGCAGCAGTAGGTAGTCTTCTTCTGACTATATCATCCAACAAATGCGTTCTTTTCGACGAATGAGAAAAAAATGACGACATTCCGGACAGAGTGTAACGACACTTTTTCGTCGCTCTGTTTGCCGGGGTAATACTCAGGGGTTGGTCCTGGGTCGTTACAATAAATTTGTATTCACAAGAACAAGACTTCTCAAAATAAAAGATTGTGTGTTAAATTTCAATATTTATTTATTATTAAGTTGTCTTAAAACTAACAATGTTTATTCATTTATATTTGATATGTATAAAAATTATTATACCTGTTGTGGAAGAAAAGTTTATGGGTTATAGCTGTTATTATCTATAGACGTGTTCACGCCTATATATATATATATGGCTTAGTAAGTAGGAAAGGATCTAAAACGTGTTCACGCTTTATATTAGGTTTTAATAGCAGGATATGAACGTGTTCACGCTTATATTTGCTACTGGAAAGGATATAAACGTGTTCACGCTTATGTACGGTGGCTATAGAAGGAATAAAACGTGTTCACGCTTTATATTAGGTTTTAATAGCAGGATATGAACGTGTTCACGCTTATATTTGCTACTGGAAAGGATATAAACGTGTTCACGCTTATGTACGGTGGCTATAGAAGGAATAAAACGTGTTCACGCTTTATATTAGGTTTTCATAGCAGGATATGAACGTGTTCACGCTTATATTTGCTACTGGGAAAGGATATAAACGTGTTCACGCTTATATACGGTGGCTGTAGGAGGGATATACAAATCAAAGGAAAATTTGTTATGTAAGTCTCTGTTTATACTTAGCTCTGCGACCGACTTTGTATGTTGTGTTTGACTGTCCAAGTCCCTGGTACGTTCTCTTGTCTTCGAAAGTTGATAACGAGCCTCTGTCTGCTTCTGAACACTTTGCGTGTTGATCACTGACTGCTTTCTTCTAAGTAAATGCGTCTTCTTATATACGCATCAGACCAAACTTTAACGTAGCGCAAAGCTTAGTTTACAGCTGGCTTGGATTTTTGACGTCGTTGCTGTTTTGCGCTTTCGCCGTAGTTAATATGCGCGCGCATCAATTTTAACACAAAGCTCTTTGCACAAAAGCTTTCTTTTGACGTTTCTTGTGTTGTGCATTTGTTTTGTTTTGAAACGTGTTTAGCTTAGTGTCGGTAGTGGCGGCTTTAAATATTTATATTTATTTATTAAAATAAAATAAATATTAAAAATATAGTACAAGTACAAATAGTACAAGTTTAAATAATAAATAAATAAGGTAGGTACAATATTTATTTATTTGAATATATTTTGGATTCTTTTAAATTTTCAATGTAATCTCAGGTTTTATTCAACTGGTGCAGTTACGTGCATGCGGGGGTGGGTTTATGGTAAGTTATTTACTTTTAACATATTATATAAAAATTAATCAATTTTTATTTCAGGTATTAACTGCACACTAGTTATATGTAGGTTGGAAATTGGTAAAAATTTCCATCCTTACAAGAGTAGTAAAAAAAATTTTTACTTCACTAATAAAATTTACACTTTGTGACAATACTAAATTTAACACATGTGCGTTGCAATGAATGAACGCAGCTTGTGGGAAGTTTTCTCTGACTTTAGCTTGAGTGCCATTCAAATCACTTGCCATAACTGCAGCACCATCATAGGTTTGCGCAACAAGTTTGTCACCCCAATTTTTCATTTTAATAATATTAATTATTTTATTTGATATAGCAGCCGCTGAACGATCTGCACTTAAGTCCCAAAATTTATAAAATCTCTCTCTTGGTAAGCCATTGCCATCAACATATCGAAAAACAAGAGAAAGTTGTGATTTTTTTCCAATGTCTGTAGTTTCATCTAACATGACTGAAATGAATGATGATTTGTTAATTTCTTCCTCTATACAATCAGATATGACAGAAGCCACAGCGTTTATTAATTCATTTTGAATAGAGCTTGATGTTCCTGTAAACGTAGTAGCAGTAGTTAAATGACGTTCTAATTTATTATCATATTTAGCTAGTAAGTTTAGCAGCTCCTTATAGTTTCCTTTATTATTCGAACTCTGGGACTCATCATTACCCCTAAAAGCAAGTTCTTGAGTCCCTAAAAAGCAAACACAATCTATTAGGCGTTCTAAAATTTTACGGTTTTCTGAAACCTGTTGATTGTGTCGAGTTGTTGCTATTTTTTGTTGTTCGTCTAGGGAAAACTCAATTCTTGTGTTTCCAAACGTTTTTAAGGAAACAACACTATTAATATGTGCTTGTGTCAGTTGATGTTTATTCATAGCAGTAGCCAAGTGATTTAAGTCACTATATCCAGAAGTCCAAACACCTCTTTCTTTAGATGTAGTAAATAAAAGGCATGGCCAGCAAAACAATTTATTTATTAAAGAACAGCCACATAACCAAGATTTCTCATCATAATTGGATGACTGAAAATGTCTACTGAAGGATCTGCCTCGGCATTTACTCACGCAAGTCATATTGGGAAGTTTTGGTGTTGGTCTTCCAACTTGCACCAATTCCAATTTTTCTTGAAAACTCAATAGAGAAAAGTTTTTTTTTAAAAGATTTTCAATAGCACAACCACACTCCATAGTTATAAATTGATTTAAAAGATGCTGAAAAAAAAATTTTTTTATAACGCTGAAACTCTAGAAATAATTCGTTCCAATACTGTGGATCTTTAAACATGATTTAACTGAATTGCAACATAAACAGTTAAAACTACTATTTATTTTAAAATTCGACATAGGCATTCAATATTAATTCATTTTATATCTAAATAATATCTTTAACACTGTAAATTGTAATTATTTACATTGAAAAAAAATTAAACTGTTTTTACAACAAAAAACTGTATACACGCAAAAAAAACTTACATGTATTATATTACCTTACATTAGAGACACAACATTAACATTTGCATTATATGCAATATAGATTATCAATAAAAGTTTTTTGAGTATTAAAATATTAAACGCCTGAATTGTTATATATGCATATTTATTTACCGTTTTAAAATAACTTTAAACAATTATTAATTTATATGCGATTTTATATATAAATTTAATATTATATCAAAACGGAATAAACACAACTTTTTACATACTTTTTATAACATCAACCCAACTTTTTTCAAACAAAAGAGTTTTAACTCAGAACCATACATGTTTATGCAGTGATCAAACAAAATCAAACCCACTTGCAACGTATAAATGTGCGCACACGTACTCCGCACAGTGAGCGCCAGAAATTCGTGGGTGCTACTGTTAAAAGGGGAGAGACGAAATGTGATAGAAATGTATGGCGAGATGAGCTGCAAACTTCAGCAGCTCATACAACCACTTTGGCAAATCATCATGTTGGATTCGTATGCATGCAGTTGATATTCGAATAGAACAGAAAATTACTCTCATACAATTCCCACATATAAATCTCTATTTCTGATATTACGAACGGGAGCACACGCACAATATTTTGTTCATATGTAACGTATGAATGTGCTGCCAACTTCTTTGCACACAAAGGGGAGAGACGAAATATAATAGAAAAGTTCTGTGATTTGAGCTGCAAATATATGAGCACAACTAACAAGTATAGCACCTAACAGAAGCAAATTGATTGAGTTTTCATAGACAATTATATTTAATTGTTTTTGCTAAAACTTTAATCTTTAAAAATATATGTATGGAAATGTAATAAATAATAATAATTCTTGATGTGAAGATACTTAATAAATTTATATATGTTATTTGACATTTTGCAAATTATGTTAGGGTGTTCACCGCACACCTCCGCACTTTAGAGCAGTCGTCACTGTGTACAAGTATATATATATGATTTGCTATGTAGAGTCCCGCATATAATCATGTATTTGAAGGATCTGATTATACTTGAAAATATAATTGTTAAATTTGTAAGTAATATATTAAAAATTATATATCAGTTTTAATAGGAAAGCACATGAAAGCAAAATTATTGCTACAATTCTCTTTCAGAAAGCGTTTGATTAAATTAAACCGGCCATTTAAAGTTATGTTATTTAGATGTATTTAACTTTTGTTACATATATACAATAATATGTATGAAATGCAATATTATAAAAGTTTTAAATTAGTACACAAATTTGTGATGAATACAAATTTTTGAATGGCCCTGAACTTATCAAATTCAAAAATCTAGAAAATCCAATGTCCAGTCGTCCAAAAAGGAGTAAGCTTGGCACACATTTTAATATCTGAAAGTGTGTGTTATAGAGCAAGAACCAAAAAATATAACGAGAGTGCACAGTTTTGGGTAGTTGACGCGTAAGCATCAATATAACCACAGCAATGTGGTGTACCGGATTTACTTATACATACCCTGTTGTATATTCGTGCACTAATTTAAAATGTACACCTCGTATACGTGACCCATTACAAATGCGTGCAACACCTATAAAAAGTTAAACATCATTTCTCACACATATGTAGAATGTATCTACCGTAAGCAACCTTCTTGCATCTACAATGTACAATATTTATGATTTTTGCCTTACTTGAAATATTTCATCGTTAAAAATACATACACAAAAGTAACAAAAACTGAAAATTGTTGCAAAAACTTCTCTCAGACATTTTTTAAAATTTACTTGCTTCGTGTATGCCAACTGTAAATTGTGTAATAAAAAAAGCACTTCACGTTTGTTTGCGTTGCTGTCAGGAGAGATTTTTTCCTCTTTTTCAAATTAACTTATCATATATTTTATTTAAATACATAAAATAATAGCAAAAATCCTGCAACATTTCCATCAAATGCACTGAGAGCAAATGCAGCAAAATGAAACGGAAATGAGGTGGATTGTGTACTTCAGGTACTCTGCAATGCAACTGACACGGAACACCGACAATGAAACGCAATATCAACTTCAGTCTTAACGGACGGTTGGCAGATATGCAAGCATTAGACCCAATGGACTACCGTACTAAGAGAAAAATAGTATTTCAGATTTAGCTTTGCAGGGAAATACTTATCACCCTTTAATGACTGTAATACGCTTACGTCCTTTGCATAGCAGAGTAAATTTGGTAGTATTTGTAATTTTAAAAATGCAAAAAGAATTAATTAAATACTATAAAAATTATTATATATGATATATAATAGATCTATTAAAAGTTCGTTTGCGGTTCATTATGGAAATTCTTTCTATGTAGTTTGATTTCTTCAAGCACTTGGGGCTTGTATGTATAAACTCACGAGTTTGTAAAGTAATTGAAGTCAATGGTAACTTTTTTCCATTTATTTAAGCCCGATTTTTAATATATGAAATACATAACTTAAATTTAAACGTTATATATCTGTATCCGTTCTACAAGAAAAGAAAGTTAATTCTTTTAACTTACTTAAGATTATGATAGTTGCAATTAGGAAGTCATCATCCTTTAAGACATTTATTTTTGTTATTTGAGCAAAGTTTGAGATTCAAAACCCTAAACTATGGACTTTGCTGTGCATATCAGCAAGGGTTCTATCTAAACTTGTGTTTTTAGAAAAGAGAGCGAATCTAGTGCGAGATAAACTTAATTTTATACTGAAGCGTGTTAATTTCATAGAATTTCAACACAATGTCATACACATAACAATTAAGGGACTGGTACCTGTTTTGACGATTTGGATATTTAAAAAAAAATATTTTTATGTCCCCAAAATAAACTGTTAAAAGATTGTAAGTTATTATACTAAATAAATCATTCAGATCGAGTACTTTATAGTGATAGAAATATTTATTTTAGTTATATACAGTGCATATAACAAAAATGCAGAGAGGGAAGTGTCAAAGCAAAAAAAATGTTCACGTTCATCATCAAATAACAGATTTGCAGAAAAAAAACCATAATCGTTTCTCATTAAAACTGACAACTTGGTCACGCAAAACACGTTCCAGATCTATATCTAGGCGTAGCCGAAATATTTCTCGTAATCCAGAATATAACAACTCAAAGCGTCGTTCATCACGGTCTTCAAGTAAAAATAAATCTTATAGGAGGTTTCGGTCTTCATCAAAAAGTTGCAAACGCTCACCTGACCGTAGTCGTTCTTTTTAACATAGATAATCTCGTCAACGGAGGCGTTCAAGATCGCGTACTGAAAATCCGCATTACTTCAGAAAACGTTCTTTAACACCCAAAATTAAATCTAGACGGTTCCGCACACCTGATAAACACATATCAAGAAGATCTCGCACACCTGCTAAGAGTTATGAAAATGTATCAGAAAAAAAATTATTACAAAAATCTACCAAGGAACGACATTCTTGCTTATGTTAATATTCATGAAGCTCTTCAGAACTTCTGAAAAATATAAGCATATTATTGATAATAAAACAACTTAGAAACCTTCTAATAAGCATAAAGGAAAAGAAAGCCATGGCAACGATCGGAATCATTTAAAACTAAGAGACTCATCGTTGGAACAACAAAAATCAACTGAAAAAGATAATAATAGTAAAACTGATGAACGTCGAGAAAGACATTCTTCTGCGACGCATGAAACAAGTAAATGTAATAAGCCAACTCCTGTTGTACCTCACCAAACTTATAGTGACGATGATACCGATAACGATGAACGCGTTGAAAAAGACACTGCACCCGATGTAATATAATGTTTATTTATAAAAAATGAACAATATTAATATATTTAATCTGTATATATTAGGATCTATATTATTGCAGATACTTATAACCCAAGTAATACACAAAAGCAAGACAAAAATGGTGAATTTTTTTTGAATTGCTTTGTTAACAACTCTAGGGCTTTATTTTAGGAAGAAAATTTTCTTTAATGAATAATTTTTAATCCTTCATTTTTTTCTCTTACTTATACAATTAGGTAAAGACACGGAGTATTTGTATTCGGGTTAGGTTCATTACAGCACTGCAGTTAAGTTCACTTTACAATGAGGACATTTTCAGTATTTGCCGAGTTTTATTATTAAAATAATAAAGAAGTTTCGAACAGTAATGAGCTACAACAACAAAAATTATTTTTATATTATTTTAATTAATTTAATTTTTGTCTGACCGTACATACAGCTATTTCGAGTATTTCCAAATACCCATAATTAGTGGTCTTGGAAATAATTGTTGTATTTAACTATTCGTAAATAATTTTTTGAGACTTAAAGTACCAGGGATTAAACTCGTAATTAAATTTATATATTATTTAAATAATAAATAAAAATGTTTTTCGAACAGTAATGAACTACAACAACCAAAATTAATTTTGTATTATTTTAATTAATTGAATATTTGGTTAACCATAGAGTTGTTTTGAGTATTGCCAAATACCCAAATATTGGAAATAATTCTAGTATTTAATTATTCTTAAATTTTGAGTCCGCTCGTGCCCTGCCAAATTTGAAGCTCAGGCTCAGCGTTCATTAGCCAACTGACCCAAAGCCGTACTTGAGTTTTATGTTCGCACATTTTTCTTGAGTTTTGTTAATTTACAGTGAAAGTTGCATGAATAAATAAATTTCTTTTTCCTTATAGATACTTTGTCATGAAAAAATTACATCTAATAAATAAATATTAATATAATTAATAAATTTAATGTT